GCATGTTAACAACTTTTCGGTTGCTAGTAGCTAAAAGGCTTCGCGCAGTCTGTGGTCCATTTGAGTGAGCTCTGCGGGTGATCCTGACACTCTTGCTACAAACGGGCTCTTTTCTGCCCTTTGACAGGCAGCTCTGAGGGCTCCTGGGCATCAGGGAGGCCTTCATCCAACAAGATTGACTCCTGCCCTCCTGGACAGCAGGTCGTCCCCAGCTGTGGGACCACGGGGCTGTTAAATTGCTACTTAGTATTTGATAGAAACTTACGTAAGTTATTTCTGAGAAATTAACTGCTGCTTTTAGCTGCTGGTTTTAGTACACCGTGTCTGTCACACGACAGAGGCCACATCACTCTCTGGAAGGAGCTGGGTCAGCAGTAGATGGAGTCCTTTATGGATCTCAGTCTCTCTGCACTTTGCAAGATGTCCACAGTAAGCAGACATTGTTGAGTTGAGCACGGAAGCCGCTAGAACCCGAGTTATTACCAGCGGATGTTATTCTCACAGATGCACCTGGTAAAGGCCCCTGAAGTTACAGAGGTGTCTCGTGCATGTGTGTGTCCATGGGAAACAGAAGCAGCAAGATGTTGGAGTTTTGTCGAGAAAACGAGACGCAGGCGTGCCCCGGCAGCCCCAGCCGCAGTGCGTCTGGGGTGAGTGCTTCCTGGCCCTCACCAGCTCCGCGTGACCCACACGTGTGGGACACGTAGCAGATGTCTCTGTTGGATCTGCTTGCTGTGTATCACATCTCCAGAGTTTTCTGGACCCTTCCCAAATCCTCCAGAAGGCTCTAGTGAGTTTTGAAACTGGAAATTGTTTCCTGTGTTTGAGTCTCTAGATTCCCTGGGAGAAACCCCCTTGGGTGAAGGTGCGTGTCCGGGATGCCCTTCAGGGTGCGTGGTGGCTCCCAGCTGGTGCTGTTCACGTCTGTGCCTGGGCGGCTTTTCAGAGTTGTCTGAGTTGCTGGTGGTTACCATACGTGCAGGCTGTTTCCAAAGAGTAAGTTCGATGAGAAGGTCAATATCTTAGATAAATACAAAACCAAAACAATGTCTGGGAAATAACTCATTCATTAAGATAAGTGTTTGCCTTCCTAGGTTAGCGAGCCCAAAAAACAGTGACTCATTGGTGGAATCCTTTGCCCTGGATGTCATTTTTTATAATGTTACAGCATAATGATCCCTAAAGCAGAGCTTTCGTGTTCCTTCTGTGTGCCCGGCGGCATGATGGGAGGAAGAGACTGTGACCGAACGCCTCCCGCTGAGCAGGTGACGCCCGGTCACTGCAGATCATCTCTCCTGTTTATGCGACGGCATGCTGCGAGGGGCTTGCGGAGTCATCGGGGTTTCTGTCAATGCCGATTTTGAATTGGGAAATTTGATTTCTAGTGGACATATTGGGAATACAGACATTCCTCCACGTACCTGTCATTTCCTCCTTAGGCAGCCACAGAGTACCTCCTGTGCCCAGGACTTCGGGGGCTTTGGGGGCTTTGGGCCAAATGCTGGTGAGGCCCAGGGTGCAGACAGCGTACCCTCACCGCCTGACAGTGCCTGGGAGCACTGCCCGTGGACCAGACAGGACAGACTTCTGCACGGCCAGGGGAGGCCTCATCAAACCTGCCGAGCTCCGCCGTGTTGGCAGGTGTGTGAACCGCCCTCCTCTTTACCTCCCTGCGAGCCACACACAGCACGTGGGTGCTCCAGGCCCAGGGGGCGTGAGATTTCAGATGCTCATTGAAGACACAAGAAGAGCCACAGTGTCCGTGCTTGTGGCCGGAGGGCCTGCTGTTCCGTTCTCAGCTCTGTCAAAGAGGTAGCTTAACACAGAAGCAAATCATAAACCTGAAGTTTCAAACCAGGGAACCTCCAGGATTTCTGCTATGAAAATAGACGTCTCTCTGAAAAGGAAAATGAGAATGTGGAATCTACTTTGTACATAATGGCCGTATCCCCCTCTGAAGTCAGCCCTGTTTGCACTCCTCCGTATGGGCACTGGCGCTCCTGAAAGCCTGCTGCCCACCAGCGATTCCCACCGGACTCCATGGAGGTTTGCCAGGCCTGCCCGAGCCTGGCAGCCCGGTTCTGGAGCCAGGGAGGGGGCACTTGCAGCCAGTGCCAAGGCCAGAGCGTCCCCCCCATCCCTGCCCTGGCCCTCTGACACACTGCCAGCCTCCCGGTGTTGCTGTGTGACTCAGGCCTGACGGGCCACAGACCCACCTGGTGCGGAAGATCTCTGGTCCAGATGACTCGGAGTTCATTCACTCTACCCACGTCCTTCTGGGTGGGGCCGTCACAGCAGCTCTGGGAGCCAGTCTCCTGGCGAGCAGGTGCTCCGCCGGCTGTCTGAGCTGGGAGCGGGATGCGGGGAGAGGATTTGGGGTGTGACTCTGCCGTCTGTTTCCTCTCTGCTTTATTATGTATTGTGAAGGAGAGCGAGTGTGGGGGTGGGCGGGCGGAGAGAATTTTTTTTCTAATTTAATTTTTAAGGAAGATTTTATTTATTTGACAGGGAGCACAAGTAGGCAGAGAGACAGGCAGAGGGAGGGGGGAGATCCCCACTGAGTGCAGAGCCTGACATGGGGCTCCATCCCACGATGCTGAGATCACAACCTGAGCTGAAACCAAGAGTTGAAACTTGAGCCACCCAGGTGCCCCCGTTTGCTTTAAAAACCCAGTCTCTGGTGAGGGCTGCACAATGAATGTACTCAGTGCCGTCGAACCATACGCTCAAAATGGTTAAAATGGTAAACTTCATGTTATCTGTTTTTTACCACCATTAAAAAAAACCCATTCCTCAAAAAGTTGTATTTTTTATTAAAAGTTTAATTTTTTTTATTATTGAGTGTAGTAGTATTTGGTATTCTGGGCATAATGCTCTTGGTGCAGAATGGGTTATTAGTAAAGCTGCAGCCTTTACTACTTTGCATTTGAGAAGTTTGAGGTGAAGAATGTTTGATCAGCAGTGTGGTGACACCTCACGTCACCACCAGGGTGCTGCACGGGAGCTAGGGGCCTGGTCGGCAGAGCCCGCAGAGCGCCGCCCGTGTCCGGGCTGGGGGTCTCAGCAGCGTCCAGAGGGGCCGATGCAGCCCGGAACCTGGAGCAGCCTCATACTTGCGTGACGCTGGCGCCGACCAAGGGACGAGTCGCACACGCCATTCCCTGGGGGCTCTTCTTCCTCATCGTGAAATGTCTCTAAGAATGGAAATAAAACTTACCTTACGGGGCTGATTTCAAAAGCACGTGAAATAGTAACAGGGAAAGAGCTCAGGGAGATGTCGACAACTGTGCAGACAGGGCTGGCCCGTGAGGAGCAGACGCGGAGAGTCATGCCCAGCCCGGTCCAGGCAGGACGCAAAGCCGTGGCCGGCGATGACTAGCCATGGTCCCTTGTGTTCCTCGCGGAGCCGCGACGGTCCACAGCGGGAGGAGGGAGTCCTGCCCCTCTGGCGCTTGTAACCCAAGGAACCCCTCCGCTTGCCCGCGCTCTCGAACCTCACCGTGCGGGGGCCTCGGGACCGGGCGCCAGGGGAGGGGTGCCGTCACCGCGCTGCTCTCGTGGGGGTGGGGGCCGCCTGCGTTCGGGCCACGGCAAAGAGCGCTCCTTCCAGGCAGCTTGTGGCTGTTTGTGGGTGCATGGGCTCCGAGGTCCCGGACGTTGTGTGGGCCCCGCACAACCAGCATTGTTTGGGGTTTAATTTTCTTCGTGTTAGTGACCTGTCCTTGCCGCCTTGTCCCACAGGCACCTGACGGGCGGGAAGTGCGAAGCCCCTCTGGCCGCCGTGCAGTGTTGTCCGCTTGCCCTCTGCTGCCACCGTGCCTTCCCCGGCTCCCGGGGGTGCCGCCGGCCACCCTGCCGCCCGCCGCGGAAGCCCTTCCCTGGGGGGCTCGTGGCAGAGGCCCGGAGGCCCGGATTGCCACACGAGTGCCGCGCGTGCTGCCTGTGTAGCGGGGGAGGGGTCCCAGGCCATGCGCTGGCCGGAGTGGTTCGGTTGTCTGAGGGCCCCAGATTTTGGTGAATTCTCTTTTTCACGAGGCTGCCCCTCAGTCCACAGTAACTCGCGTGGCGCCTTTCGTCCTACGACGTGTGTGTGCTCCAGGCTTCACTTCCGGGGCCCCTACCGACCAAAGTCTCGGGGGGAAACGCCAAGCAAGTATTACTATTCCTGCTTCAAAGGGAAATTAAATTCTGCGTCAAAACAAGACGAAACACAAGAGCCCCCTCCCTGGTTACAGAGTTAACACACACTTGTTAGCAGGACGTTTTGAGACGTGAGGTGCAGAACATGGAACCAGCCGGTCGGCCGCGGGGCACTGAGCCCTCTGTGTGTTTGCGGCCTCCCCGCCGTGGGCGCACCCATGCTCAGACTCTGCCGTCTGCTATTCGGTGGTGGTCGTGTTCACTCTCTATACCCTGAACATCGTCCCTTGTCAGTAAACACACTGAAATAAGTGATGCTGGGTTAAAGACTGGATTTTTTTTTTTTTTAAAGGTTTTATTTATTTGACAGAGAGAGACACAGCGAGAGAGGGAACACAAGCAGGGGGAGTGGGAGAGGGAGAAGCCGGCTTCCCGCCGAGCAGGGAGCCCGATATGGGACTCGATCCCAGGACCCAGATCATGACCTGAGCCGAAGGCAGCCGCTTAACGACTGAGCCACCCAGGCGCCCCAAGACTGGATTTTAAAATAAATGCTAAGACACCATGCGAGACCCGGAGGGAAATACACCTGAACGTTGGGATAATCACAGCATAAGGAGGGACTTTAGCATGGAAAACCGTAGAGTGAACTTATTTTCCGGAGACCCACCTGGCGCTGTCCGCAGAGGGAACTTGGTAACGAGCGTGAGGCCGCGTGCTGCAGGAGGGCACGCCACAGAGGCCTCTCCGGGGGCTGTGGGGCTGCCTTGTGAGTCTTTCCTTTGGGGCCACGTGGCAGCTGACGCTGTAGTTGTCCACGACCACTAAGCCACTCCTTCCCTTAATGTTCTCCCCTGCAGGTCGCTGCCATTAACCCAAACCACCCGCTCGCGCAGATGCCCCTGCCCCCGTCCATGAAGAACTGCATTCAGCTGGCAGCCTGTGAGGCCAACGAGCTCCTGCCCATGATCCCCGACCTCCCGGCCGACCTGTTCACGTCATGCCTCACCACCCCCATCAAAATCGCCCTGCGCTGGTAAGTGGCTGCTGCCGTGACCTGGGTTTTACAGACCCGGGTGACGGGCGTAAACTCAGCCTCCCGAGGTGCAGGCTTTACTCACGGAGAGTTAAAGAAGCGTTCTCCTTCTTGGGTGAGTGGTGTGTGCGGGTTGTTGCCTTGTGGTTCCGAGAGCACCTGTCCGTGCCGGTCAGCTGTGGGAGTGTCCCAGCAGCAGCACTGGTCATTCTGGAACGCGGGCTGTCGTGACGGGGAGTGCTGTTTGATCCCTGACAGTCCACTGAATCACGGTCCTTTTCCGCTGCGCTCTTTGTTGCGGTCCATGTTCTTGAGAACGTGACCGATGACATGGGTGGGACACTCCAAACTGTAGAAGGTGCATCAAAGACCCTACGTCGTTGACAGGACCCACCATGGGACGTGCGGGCTCTGGCCTCCAAATCAGGTTTCTGCCGCCGACCACCCTGCCGCTCCTTTGTTCTATCCTTTTCCGTGTTACGTTTTGCTGAGAAGCTTCCATGCAGCAGGTGTGCAGCTGGGAGACAACAGAGGCCCAGGAGGCGCAGGGAAGCACACAAATGGGTGCTGTGGCCTGGGCTCTGGGGGCGCTTTCCAGGGCTTTCTACCAGGAGGCACACAGACCCCTGGTCCTTCCCACAAGTCCAGAGAAACAGTGAAACACATGTGGACCCTGGGGGCTGATAGCACAGTCAGTGACTAGGCCCGAGCTGCTCGCTTGGATGGAAGCTTGGACTTGCTGCTTGGCTTCTGTAGCAATATTCCCCATCAGCCCAACGCCCCCGGGGTGAGAGATTCATGGTGCTAGGCTGGCTGAGCAGCACCCCTCTGCCACCCCCTACCCTTGCCCCCAAATCCCAGGGAGAGCCTCCTGTAGGGTGACTTACCCCTGAGCAGTGAGTGGGGTGGGGGAGCTGTCCACAGGGCCCAGCAAAGGGGTGACCCACCGTACCCCTCAGTGGCCTGGGCTTATCCCCCAGCTGACACAGACCAGCACTGCTTAGGGATGTTCTCCACTGCACCCCGAGAAGCAGAAATCAACAGCACGGGGCACAGCCAACACAGACAAAAGCTGCCGAACATCCAGCCCCAAGCGTGGGCATGTGATGGGGAAATGAAGGAAGATGCAGGAGGAGAAGGCAGACTGCGAAGCGGAATATAAAAACGTGCCAGTGGAGACCTAGGAAGAAGGAACACGGGATGGGATTCATGGTAGGGGAGGGCGGCTGCAGCCTGGATCGGCTGGAAGGAAAAATTGAGGAGCTCGGGGCGGCAGCCGGGAGGGACAGAGAATAGGCCAGAAGGGCAGGCGGCACAGAGAGAGACGCTCCCATGTGCAGGGACAGGTTGGCAGAGGTGCTGCTCCCTGAGGGTAACACGGCCATGTTCCCAGGACGTGGGGAAGAGGTGGAAACTCAGGCGCCAGCCAGCCAGGAGGATACTCGGGCTCCACCCGTCATCCCCCTCCACGTGGGTGCAGCTCTTTGAATGTGGGTCTTCACTCATGAGGCGGTTTGTGAGGTTTTCTTTGTAACTGTCTGCACTGCTTGGTGGCTGCCAGGAAAGATTATAGGTCCCTATGATGCGACCGCAGGAAGATCTGCGGTCCAGATGATTCAGGAGTCCATTCATTCCATTCAACGTCCAAAACAGACTTTACTGAGTCCCACAGTGTACTTCAAACCTACACTGAGCGCTGTAGGAGATGCAGAGAAGTGCTTTGCCCTCACAGATTTAGAGTCTAGCTGAGGAGACAAGCTGTGGCCTGAAAATTAATGATGTACATGAAACCTTGACGTGGGGCAGAGGGCATCTGAGTGTCGCAGGCAGCTTGGGGTCAGGACTGAACGCATGCCTGTACCAGGAGCTCTCATGTTCCCAGGGACGCAGACACTCTGAGGGCCAGCGGGACACGTGGAGGAGACGCAGCCCGACAGGGTGGCCATCGCCGGGGGTGACACGCGTGTCTGAGAAGAGTGAGCACGTGCGTCAGCCTGATCACATAGGAAGGTGTGGGGAGGGGTGTAGGTCAGGGCTGGACCGTGTCAGATGTGGGTGCTCTGAATGCTGAGCCACGGACCTGGACTTGGAGGACGGGCAGGGGGAGTCCATTTGGTGTTTCCGTGGGAATGTGACGTAGTAAGAATAGTGCTGTAGGGAGATGATCCATGGAATGACGGGGAGGCTGGGCCACACGGAGGCCTTTCCACAGCCCGATCCAGTCCCGATTCGGTCCCAGTCTGGTCTCAGTCTGGTCAAAGGCGGCAGCAGGAAGGTGGGACTCTGTGGGCAGGAGCCCCTGCAGATGCACCTTGGAATCTCCTGGGGAGCAGGCCTTGTATCCACTCATTTTCCCGCCCCTTGCTTCAGGATTTCCTGCCCTTCCTGCCCCTGTGCCCCCTGCCTCAGGAATGAGGCTACGGGCCAGCTGTGCTGCGGGCCTCCGCCTCCCCCACGCCCCCGGGCTGGGGCTGATTTGATGGGACTCTCACGGGGCACTTACGCAGGTTTTTTGGGCAGGTGGTGGAGATGCAGAAAGGGAGGGAGGAGAGAAGGCACAAGGAGCCTGGAGGGGAATCTGTACCCCCCCCACCCCGTCCTCACCCCCCAGCACACCTGCCACCAGGTGGGCCCAAGGGTCCCAACATCCCAGTGCGGTGAGCGGATGTCCCTCGCCCACGTCTCCAGCACGCTCTTTTCCATCTTGGTCAGGAAGGACTTGGCATTCACTGCTGTCACTTGGACGCCAGTCGACCCGCACATAGTCTCGAGTGGGTCCCTGCCCTCTGACCGGGGTGTGGGCTTTCACCCTACCACGACATGATGCATTATCTCAGGAGTGCCCTGAGATCCTTTTTGGAGTTAGGATATGAATAAAACTTGTAAAAGTAAGCGTTTAGTAGGAAGCAGTGTGATAACTCAAACTCACAGGGCCACCATCAGATGGATGTTGGAATCAGTAGGTCACAGCTGCAGGGGACGGTCATCAGATGACCACTGCCTGGAACAAGGCGCTGTTCCAGGTGGGAGGATCTCTTACAGTGAACCACTCCGTGCCACACCGAGGAGTTGAAATTAGCTTGAACAGAACTGTCCTTATGATGGAGATAAACCATAATCGTTGGAAGCCTCGTCGAGTGAAATGGGTGCTTGTCTATAACAGCTGAGTTGAAAACCACGAGCTTTTTTTAAATGGAGAAAGGAAAAGTTTAGTAGGTAGAACTCATTTATATTGTTAGGGCTAAAGTTTTGTTTTTTCATGTAAAAAGTCACTATTTCCCGGGTGCCTGGGTGGCTCAGTCGTGACGCATCTGTCTTCGGCTTCAGGTCATGATCCTGGGGTCCTGGGATCGAGCCCCACATCGGGCTCCCTGCCCCGCAGGAAGCCTGCTTCTCCCTCTGCCACTCCCCCTGCTTGAGTTCCCTCTCTCACTGTGTCTTTCTCTGTCAAATAAATAAAATCTTAAAAAAAAAAGTCACTATTTTCCAACTTCAAGTAGAATATGCATTCTTTGTAGAAATTAACTACAAAGCAAGTAGAAGAAAAGATTATTCAAGATTTTATCATCTTTAACACAATCAGTATTAACTTTTTGGTGTATTGCCTGTCAGTCTTTTTCTCTATGCACGTACATTTCTGCATTGATGTAATGAGACTGCATTTGTAGTTACTTTTACTTAATCTTTAGTGTTAAAATAAATTTATCCTAGACGATTAGGCAACTCTTAGGAAACATCATTTGTAATGATTGCATAAGATCTCACTGCATTGATGTTTTGTGTTTTATTTTAACCGAAGCCTAGGACTTTAGGATTTAGAATTCCAGTAAATAAAGATAGAAGAGCTCAGAGAAACTCTAGGATGGGGGTCTGCCAACTTCTTCTGTAAAGGGCCAGATAGTAAGTTGTTTAGGCTCCATGGGCCCGAGGGTCCCAACTGCGCTGATGCAGCATGGGAGAGCCATAGGCAGTATGTACGCAGATGAGTGGGGCTCTGTTGCAATAAAACTTTATTTGTGAAAACAGGCAGTGGGTCCTACCTTGCCAACTTGTACTTTAGAAAATGGAACCAGGATCTTACCTGCAGACGACTGCTGCACTCATCTACTGGTCAGGAAATAACCTAAAAACAGGCCTCCTTCCCCGTCCGTCCTTCCTTCCTTCCTCCTTCCTTCTCCGGATGTAAATAAGAGGATGGCTTGTAGCGACACTGCACTCAGTACAGCCAGCTGCAGTTGTGAATACTGTACGCTTTATACACATACGATAGTCTTGCTTTCTACGTACGAGACGTGTGTGTGTTCGTATCTGGTGGTAAGCGTATTTATGAATCTTACTTAATGATGAAGTAGTTGTTGGAAAATGTTGTTCTCTGATTTTCTCTTCATGTTTTGCTTTAGTCTTTCTTGTTTTCAGAAACAGGCAATTTCAATAATTCTGAAATGAGCAAGTACATTGTTCCCTAAAGAAGTGATTACCTTGCTCACCATGTGTATCAGTGTAGTATAAGGGTCTAAACTATATGTTTTCTTGGCTTTTTCTACTTCTTGGATTGGTGGCAGAATGCCATTTTAAATTTATCATGGGTATATTTGTGTGCTACTGAAAATTATAACTCAGTGCTACTTAATTTGCAGTGGGACTTGCTATAAAAGAAATTGATGCCTTATTGTACTGTGTAGCATGGAATCGTATTGTTTATTAAAGAAAATGATAGACATTATTTTGGATTGAATAGAGGTCAAGAAACTTGTTTCCTTCCTTTCAATTAAGTTGAAGAATTTCAAGGAGTTTAAATGTAAATGACACAGGATTAATGTAGATTTGTCCACATGGGAAGTCTTGCCCTCATGTTCACCAGCGAGAGAGGCGAAGGAGAGAGGGAGTCCCCAGACGGGCAGGCAGAATCCGCACCAGTGTCAGGCGTCCACTCGGGTTTGAATCCTGGCTCTACCATTTCTAGCCGTGCAGCCTCCTGTCGTCGTTCTGAAGGCAGGACC